CTCCTACTCACTCACACACACACACACACACACACACACACACACACACACACACACACACACACACACCAGTTAACACTACTCAGATTACTAAGGCAATTTTTCCTCCTCAAGGGATACAAAAATATTTTATAGATATTTACCTATCAAAAGAGTATTTTGGCATTTTAAAAAATATTTTTAGAATTTCTCTTGCACTGCTTCAGTATTTTTATTAAATGGGGTAGGGTAAAATGATACTTTCTTCCTCATCATTCACTTTGATGGTTCAGAAAAAAAAAGAAGACGCATTGAAAATCCATGTTTCAGAACCTTTGTAAGGTAATGCCTATAATGGATTTTTAAAATTATGATGGGTTAGTTTGCATTTTAATTTAGTCATTGTTAAGAAAAGGGTTTTCTGATTTTTAAAACAATTTACAATAACTTTGGGTCTTAATCCACCGAGAGTACAAGAACAACAAAGTGTGAATGTTTAGAGAGGTACTTTCCAGTGTACAGCACTTAGTGCCAAACTTAATAATCAGTTTACTAAATAAAGATCCCAATCCTTCAAACACTTACGTACATGCTTAACTTTACACACTTCAGCAGTTCCTATGGGGACTACTCATATATGTAAAGTTAAGAATGCACACAGGCTTTGTTAGGCTCTAAGAGGTCAAAAGTAAGAGAGGAATCTCTCTTTTATCAGACATTTATATCCAAACATTGTCAGAAATACTAGGTACTGAGGCAGTTCTTAAAGGTCTCCTGAAGAAGCAGTCAACCTTAAGAGTGAAAAACAAAAATAAATACTGCCCTCTAGTGCATCTGATTTTTTCATTTATCTGAACAGCAAATTAATTGCTAAAATTATACTGACTATGAAAGTTAATATACATGTTAACACTTTTAGTTAAACAGAAAAAAATGTCATATACAAATAATATCTGGAAATGTTTTAAGACATTAGAGAATAATCATTTAGTGGTTCTTGGACAAATCTCTTTCACATATTTGTCCATTCAGTGTTGTTGTAGCCAGGCTGGTCCCAGGATATTAGAGAGACAAGATGGGTGAGGTAATCTTTTATTGGACCAACTTCTGTTGGTGAGAGAGACAAGCTTTCAAGCTACACAGAGCTATTATTCAGGTCTGGAAAAGGTACCAACAGAAGCTGGCCCAATAAAAGTTATTACCTCACCCACCTTGCCTCTCTACATATTTATCCACACATTTAATATATTAGGAGTGGAATTTTTTTTAAAAGTGCTCAGCCTTGGACCAACTCCACTCTCACTAAAGTCAACTGGGCTAAGCCAAGTCTGAGCACTTTTGAAAATATCACCCTACAAACGTTAGAATATTATTTTTTTCCAACATGATTATTTTGTTTTTAAAAAATAAAAATAAATAATAAAAAACCAAGTAAACAAAACCAACTCTTGCTTCCCCACATTCATTGCTATAAATCCAAATGCAGTTTTTTATATATACACTCTCAGATAGAAGCACCACGCATATAGCCAAAACATAGGAATTGCCATACTGGATCAGGCCTATAGTCCATCTCATTCTCATCCAATGTCTTGTTTCTGACAGTGGTCAGTACCAGATGCTTCAGAGGAAAGGTGCAAGAAACCCCACAATAGGCACATGCAGGCTAATCTGCCCTCCATGTTAGGTCTTTTCCTAATAGTTAGAGATCAGTTTAAACCCTGAAGAATGAAGTTTAATCTCTATTCCTAAATTTATGTTAGCATTAACTATTACAACTTCAGAAATTTTTGTTATTCATATA